TCACTCTGTGTGAGGGGCTGTAGAAGTCCTTTTTTTTTTTTTCTGACATACACCATGCGGTCCTCCTAAAGATGTGCTCCATTTGTTTTCTTTATGTTTGCCGAAATATAAAGAAGTGTTTTATGGCTCTATTAAACATCGGATTGCTATCCTTTAGCATACTCGATACACAATCAAACTATTAGTTCTTAACACTTATCAAGAGCGCTTGTAATCTGCAAGTCTATTTGCAGTGTAAGTGAAAAGAATTACTTAAACCCGATTAATACTAAGGACAAAATGAAAACAGTCAAATTAAGAGAATATGCTATAAAAGGATCCCAACAGGGTGGCAATATTTAGCTAGATTAGGTTTTAAATTTGATTCATGTTGACTGACATTTTCTCTCAAGTCTGATGCATTTTTCCATAAAGAACTGTTTTCATTTCATTTTTCAAAGTTCTCTTTTTCATTCCTTTGGGTAATGTATCTGGGGAAAGTATTGCAACATAGATTAGGTTATGAGTAGACATTTAATATTTCTAACCAAGATATTTTCTTTGGTGATTTGTGTATAACATCATGTGATTTTTTTTGTTATATAAAATAAAAAAAATCCAAGAATTTTATTATCTAAAAAGTAATTTCTGTGAAATCTAGTAAAATATTTACGTATCTTTAAAAGCAAAGTAATTGTAATTGATTATTGGTACATCAGGACTCAAGAGTAACATGGTTTGGTTTGGTTTGGATTGGTTTTAGTTTTTCTTAGGTGGGTGCAACTGTCAGAGAGTGAAAGAAAGAGCGACAGACAGAGATAGAGGAAGGAAAGTGAGAAACCTTCTTCTCTCGGGATTTTGGGCACACACTCACATGTTCCCAAGGTGATGTTATTTTTTTTAATGGTTTTGTCATAGGCACATGTGCTCGCTGGAGAGACAGAGAGAGACAGGGAGAGGAAAAGTGAGAAGTCACCCCCTAGGGGAGATGGCCTTGCTGAAATCCCTTCTTCATTCTCCTTGTCGGATTTTGGGTACACACATGCACACACTTAATGTGATTTTCTTTTTTTCTTTCAGAATTATGTATTCAATTTTATTTATTTATTTTTTAATTATTCCATTTGACCAGAGAAAGAGAGAGAAGGATAGAGAGAAAGCAAGCCTCTAGGTTCAGCACTTGAACTAGGGTCGACCATGTGGGACTCCAGCACCTTAACCACCACGCCACCTGCCGGCTCCCCTAGTGTGATTTTCAAGCACCAAGTCCAGGAGTTGAATCTCCATCAGACCTGTAGGAGTCCAGCCCCCTAACCAGTATGCCACCTGCTGGCCCCCAAGGTAATTTTCAAACTACCAGGTCCACAGATTGAACAATGCAGTCAACTACGTGGGATCTATCCACTTCAATCTCTATGCCATCCACTGGCCCAGCATAGTTTTATAAATATAAAAGACATACAATTGATTCTCAACTACATAGTAACTTATTTTATGGTTGGCTGGTGAAATGCATCAATTGATGCAGCTTGTAATTCTAGGTGAAACGATTCAATTATAATGATATATAATTTGTTTATATATTTGGTTCAACTGTTTTCTATTTTCTTTTTATAATAAAATTTGTTTAAAATCCATACATTAAAATCTCAGTATATGGCATCAAAGTCAACATTTTAATTTTCTTTATAGTTTCTA